GTGCAGCAGCACAACCAGAACCCTCTGAAGCTTGTTGTGGGGTTCTGGCTGCGGCGTGGCTAGCTGCAGCTAGCTGTGGCTAGCCACGCCGCTGCTAGCGACTAGATGTGGCTAGCTAGCCTTGGCTAGTCACAGCTAGCTGCGAAGTGCTGCAAAGCCCCGAAGTAAAGCGCATGCAAGCAGCAAGCAGCAAATACAAAACGGCCCCAAATATAAGCAGCAGCAGGAGCTTAAAGGCTTTTCAAATTGCTTTCTGTGTCTCCTCAAATAAGCTACAGAGACACACAAAAGCCCCACAGGAGCTATTGAAGGCAGCAGCTAGCAGCTAGCCATATAGCTGGCCGAGCTAGCCAGCTAGCTGGCCCAGCTAGCCAGCTAGTTGGCTAGCTAGCTATCTAGCTAGCTTGCTACTCAAGTGGATCCCAGAGGGCCTCTTTTAGGCGGGGGGGCGCAGCAGGAGCCTCCGCATCAGCGGGCATGCGGGAGCTGCAGCAAAAAGAGCAGCAGCAGAAGCAGCAGGGCTGTAGCAGCAGCAGAGCTGCTGCAGCAGCAGCTTCCCAGCTGTACCTGGAGAGCACTGAGGAGCAGCTGGCTTTCACAAAGCCCCAGGAAGCAGCAATTAATCTGAAGACTTTTCAGAAAAAAGAGCTTTTTCATGTTGCGTCTATTCGGGTGTCTGTCCACCTCAGCTTCCCCGCGGGCTCTGCGGCGCGGGGAGTTGAGGTGTACAGACACCTCTCACTTTTATTTTTTGTTTTTTTTTTTTTGGAATACTGTAATGACTCAAACTTCTTTTAAGCTGCGCTGGCGGAACCCAGCCACTCTGTGGGACTTGGCTTAATTCAGAACTCCCAGCAGCAGCTTTTCTTTTTTAATTTATTTCATTTCTTTTTATTTGTTTCATTCTCCGGCCTTTTGGCCTCCCTCTGGGGCCCCCTAAATGCAGCAGCAGCGGGGGCGCCAGTGAGCAGCAAAAAGTCAAATTGGGATTTAAATGAACTTCTTTGAGCTCCCTCTTCGCCACAACTCAGGTGTACAGACACCTCAGTGCCCCGGCGAGGCCTGTGCAAAGATGTGCTGCAGTGAGGTGTACGTACACTCCGTGGTTCTGAAGAGGCCGGCAGCTTGCCGGGTGTCTGTACAGCTGAGGAGCTGGGAGTTTTGGGATTTTCCCCCTTCCAATGGGCCACTTTAGTGCTTCTAGTTCTCTTTAAAATAAAAAACTTTTTAAAAAAGAGCTGTTTCCGGGCTGAGACGAAACGAAGGCCTGGCGGTTCTTCGGAGCTCTGTGGTGTCTGTACACTTGAGTTCTGGCCCCGAGATGCGTTCGCGCACTATTCATAATTAAAACATTTAATTAAATAGCGAATTGTTTTCCATTGTTGCACTTTTCTCTTCTCGAGTTTCCGTGCCCTCGGGGCTGAAGCTGGCGGTCAGGTGTCTGCGCACCTGGGATCTTTCGGGAGATAAGGCGCGGCTCGTTTTGAATTAATTTTAA